TCAGCAATAGCACACAGGAGTTCAAACGGACCACAAGGTTAAGTTCACCGATGGTTAGCCTACGGAGACGGATTTGAGGACCAAGCTCAAACTCGGGCAAGTAAAGACAACACCGAAGTTAAAACTCAGTCTTGTAGTTCGCAGCACAGGCTACATTGGTATCCCACTCCAAGCCCATCAAGCACATCGTCCTGATCAGCGTCAGCCACTGACGGTGGCTTTCTAACTCAAATGCACGGTTGTGTTGCACGCAATTTGTACGCGTGTTGCACAGAAAACGCACGCTTGGCGCTGCAATTTCAGGAATATGAAACGCACATGACAATCTCCCGGTTACAACATGTACATAATTGACTTTGAGCCTTATGTCTGCTGCGACTCAACTCTATTAGCAACAACGAAGGTACTGTCTGTAGGAATTCGAGAAATTTACCCACAAACATTAGTACTACTGTTGTTATATATAATACGTTGATAGAACGTAATTCAAGTAAAATGGCAAGAGACTAGTAGCAAATGTATGCTATGTAATGTGTCTAAGTAATGTGATCAATGTCCGCGACAACACCCCAGCTTCACAAGCATCGTAATCAGCACCACCACTAACATAATCGGCAGTAGTAGTAGTAGTAGTAGTGGTAGTAGTAGTAGTAGTAGTAGTAGTAGTAGTAATAACAAGAACAACAGCAGCAGCATCTACATCCGCTTCAGCATCACCGCCAGTAGAGTTGGCTTGCCCTCCATCTAATCACGTAGCAATCCGGCAGAAGTGCTAGCTTGAGGTAAAGGTATCTGCAGCGCCGTCCCGTTTAGCTCCGTGGAGGGGAGGTACACAAACCGTCGTGATGCCCCAAAGTCTATGCTCGTTACAAAGTATCACTGCAGGACCTAACTGAGGGATATCTCAACAAGATGTAGACAGATGTAATAGCCAGGGTGTTTGCAAACTTGTGTTATCAAAGTTAACTCGACCAGAACTGCAGGAGTATGATGAATATTGGGACGAAGAGACGTAATGCTTCACAAATGGAGCCAAACGAATCTGCCACTAGATGTAACTGGTATTTCACTCGCCATGCCAGTTTTCACAGTCAATGTTTGGGCCCTTCCACCAGTAACAAATGAGTGGCTCCTTGGGATGCAGCGATCATTCAACATTGCGTTTCCGCTACACCTGTTACGCATAACCCTTCAAAGAGGCCGTCAAGGACATCCGCATCATAATTCATCATAGCATTCTATTCGACCTCATCAAGCCCACCGATTGGTCGTTACTGGCCAAACATCTCCCTGGTGTTATTTGGGAAAATTTGTCAGCCAATTAATCAAGTTAGTTATAAACCATTCTGAAACTAAGGTTATTAGTTCAAGGAAAGCAAAGTCGTTCCCGAGGAACAGGATGCGAAAACGAATGATCTTGAGGCACTCACTTGGGCATGCAAAAAAGCCACTCCGAAGGCCGAAAATTGCATAGTCTACATAGCCGAGCGAAACCATTGCACTAGACTGCCACGGCGGAGCTGCACGCCATCTGGCGCGTCCCCAGATTGTAGATTGTGGAATGCCTTCCTTGTGAAGGCAAGCGCAAACAAGTCCCGTTTGTTTTGCAGTTGAGATGAATAACCAGTCATGGAAAATCAACGGCAGCGTCTTAGAGCGTGGGGTGTTCTGCGCTGGTCACCTGTTTTTCCAACAAATCCCACAAGAGCTCGTACGGAGCTGTGTCAAAGCCAATGTGATCGCTTATATGGTTACTGACTTCTTATTTCTGTAACCCGAGGTGCGTACCTAACGATGGACGGATGAACAATCTTGTTGGCCACCGACTTTCGGGTGGACTGTTACCGAACACAAAGAAGGTGAATGAGTCACCTGGCTGTCAACGGTCTTCGCATTCAACGATCGCGTCGCTGCTTCGCGGGTCAGATCTTTAAGACCAAAGGCTCGGGGTGGGGCCACTTACGTCAAGGCTCTCGCTGGGCATGGGCAACCGCGAAGCTCTGTGCCCACAGAACACATAAACCCACTTAACCCTTCTTCTGACTGCTTCTTTTCCACTTTTTGTTTTTGTTACCCATGTGTTGTGTCACTCTGTCAATTGTTTGTAGGTCAAGTGATATATATATATATATATATATATATATAATATATTGCGCTTGGCTAGCCCAAGAGGATAAATTATAACACCAACAGGATTTAACGAAGATGTCCTCCTCAAGTAAACAAATAAATCTTTTATTTCTTGACAATACGAGAGACTATTCCCACATAGGGAAAGATCAAAATATTTACTGATTTTATTCATTTAGTCCCCTCTATATGTTAGATGGAAATATGCATTCTGTTATATCCATATCAGTCTCGAACATGCACGTAGTGCAGGGTGAAGTGCAGAAGATTGTGCTGAGGTAATATCCTCCGTCCCCTCGATCTGAACCAGTATTATTCTGCTTTACAGGTATTTCAAGAAACTCCACCAAATACAGCGAAGCATCTCTCCCTCAAACACCGCCTGGGGCAAACGCAAACTGTGCACGGAGCAACCAACGCTTGTGCTTTCCAGAACGCACCGCTATCTCATACTATTTTCACACACAGCACATCATCAACAGGGCCTATCCACATCTCTTCAATTGCCACGGATGTGCTGAAGCAACTGATGTCACTGTGAGAGCACAGTTCACCTAATGCGAACAACGTACGCCCCAACTCAATGAACGTAGCTACTGCCTCGGTATTCCTAGTGCTGTCTCGCCGATATGTAGGTTCAAATTATATAGGAGGGTGGAATAGTCACTCCTATTTCCAGGGGCAATCTCGTTGTGTCCACAAAACTACCGTTCGAGCGCGGTTTTCTAGTGCTTGTTAAAATCATGGAATTATCGTTGCAGAACCGCTAATGCGATACTTGAAAATGTGAAGTATCATCGAGCAGGAGCAGCACGACTTCTGATAAAACCGCTCATGCACTACGAAACGTTTGTTTGCCCGTGCCAGCTGGACGGCATCTGTTGATGCTGCGGAAGGAGTTGACGCTGTCTACCTTAATTTCTCAAAACCTTTTGACCATTTTTCTTTACAAGCTTAAGAGTCATGGGATAGGTGCCCCTATCCTGGGCCTCATACAAGCATTTCTACTCAAACGCCGCTTGAAGGTGTAAGTTCATAGCGCCCTGCCTGACCCAACAGAAGTGCACTGTGTCCCGCAAGGATCGGTACCAGGACCAAGACTATTCCTATTGCTTGTTTATCGTGTCGCTGTGTTATTGCTCCGGACTCAGCGTTCATGGGGTGATCTTGGCCATGATGTGCACCCAGCACTCCTCCTAATCATGAGATCAATTCTTGCACTGTGTATTGATGTATGCTATCTCCAATCAAGAACCAGGATGTGCCCTGTGACTCATCAGCAGTTGCACGTGCTTACTTGTACTATTGTCGGCTCGAAGCGAGTCCCTGCAATTTATCCATTTGGGCGCTACAGCGCTAATTGTTATCGACCACAGAACGCGGACAATTGAGGTTTGTTAGTATATTTAATTAATAGGTCGTAAATAGCACCGTAGATATTGGATCTATTCTTTGTTCTTGATCAATGTGGGATCGTTTTCTACTCGTGGTCTCAACGACAGCATTTGGCCGTTACAGAGGCCATTTGGCCGGTTTGATCCCAAAATCTTTTCGTAAACGCTCTACGCTTGCTTGAGACTGCATGCGGATCACGTCATTTAGGTGTGGCATCCTTGCTATGAAAACATACATTTTTGGTCTTGAGAACCCACCACACAGGGCGACTAAAGGGTTAAGGGCTTGCCTTACCAATTTAGACTAAGGGACCTGGAGATTTTCAGTGAGTCTTATCATCGTCTACTGGGTGACCAATTCAAGCTCCGCCACAATATCTCACTGAGTCAACATTTGAATTCGGAACATAACATAACCGCCAAAACAATCTCTCCATTGGTGTATCTCAACTTCTCATCCTTGATGCCACGTTAATCGGATTCAAAACTATACTTAAAGATGCATTACGCCGGCTGCATTGCATAATTTCAACACAAGTTATTGGGATAAGGCATGACGTAACCAAACTATGTGCACATGTGAAAAAATCGGTGAGTCCGCCGAAACGCGTTATGTTTTTCTTGGTGAATTTGATTTTTCGGTCTCACTCTTCGCTCACAGCAATTGTTAAGTAGTTGCTTTTCTGCCCGTGATAAACCCATCGTCCGACTGTTCCATCAACATCTACCTCGTTATACACCAATTTGTCCCCTCTCGTTTGTGATCACTCTACTCTCGTTTGGTTCCCCGCTTACTGGTCCCTACCTTAACTCATAATCAGTCGCTCCGTTAGCGCTTTGCATTCAACGCGCCATCCCGGCAACTACTGCCTACGCAGAACCCATCCACTTTAGGAATTGACTCTAATTGCTCCCAGTACACCCAACGGACATTTGACCTTATGAGGTCCCGGCTCAAAGCTCCACGTTATGATGTGATCTGTCTGTAATTCCTCATCCCGCTATCACATACTTCTTGACCATGTGTTTAGGACCGAGCTGACTTCTGTGTCGTCCGACTGTCAATCTTGTGTCGGCTCGGTTCCGCTTTTCGGTAAATGACATCTTCCTTGACTAAGAATTATGTGCATATTTGAATCCGGAAAATCACTGACCTTTGCACTCATTTTGATACTCCAATATTGCTGAATACTATACGCTTATCAGTTCCGGTCCCAGTCTTATTGAATTTGTTTCGGTGGTCTACACTATTCTCAGGCTTTCGTGCCTTGTTGGCACATACAGAAGATACAAAAGGCCAGTTTAACCTTTGTATCATTCCGTGAATTGTCTAAGTAACTGGTGATGGTCCGATACCAAATTGTCCGAGGTGCGTAGACTGTTCTATGGACTTCCCTAACCACGGGATCTATTCATATCATAAAATCAACCACGTATTCACTTACAGGACATGAGGCGGCAGCAAGAGGAACTCACAATATTCTCGTCCGGTTCTAGAGTAAGCTCCATTGCGCTTGGCAGACCTCCGATCAGAGCTACAATTGGTATCCCTTGCGTTGCCAATCGCGGTAACCACAACGGTCGACCATCGAATTCCATCTGTTTGTGGAGAGAAACATAAAACATTGTGCATAACCCTGGGGTCGATTCCAGCGGTAACAAAAGTGTGTGTGATGAGGAAGTGCTGTAGCATTCTTAGTGCAGTATAAACGAGTAGATTTGCCAAAACTATTCATATGTGCACAGGGAATATTTCCAGATTACATGCTCCAGAGGAGAGGTTCATCAACGTGACTGTGGGCCTCAGATGAATCCATTGAAACATAGCGCTTGACTTGCATCACAATGCAGTCAACGCAATGGCGAGGGTGACGTTGATGTGTTGCAGTCCTGAATCACCTGAGATGAGATGGGATCGGTGTAAAATACGAGCGCCCTCATTGTTAATTTGGGGGTAGGATCCATAATTTGTGAAAGAAAATGGAATATGGTAATCGGATTTTATGCACCGTGGTATTCGGAAGAACATTGTGTAACTAGAGAAGCTGCGCGTTTCACTGTAGTTTGTACGATTCCGAAGGAAAAACTCGAACTGCAGGGTACCCGGGTAACTAAGACTGCATTGAAAGAACCAGCAAAGTGCTCGCAGCAGTAAAACAAGAGATCAATTCGTGATTAACGGACAAGATAGTCTTCGCACGTCGATAGACATGGCAGTTTATTTATTTATTTATGTATCCGTGTACAGTCCAACCTGCTATGGTGGCCACCTGCTTATGGCGACCAGCCAAAAACATCCCCAATGGTCTCTTTTATGAGTAGTGCCCCTATGCATGAACCTGTCCATGGCGACCACTTGTCCAAGACGACCACTTTTTGTTGGTCCCTTCAGTGGTCGTCTTAGAATGGTTTGACTGTGCCTGTTTACTTATTTCATTATTTACTCATTTTTTATTTCCTTACACATGCACGTATGTATACACTTGTTTATTTATTTATTAATCTAAGGGTACAGATGGTCAACACATACAAAATAACTAGGGAGAGCAGTTAAAAGGCTGGAAATCAGTCTACCTGGCCGATTCATTAGGTGGCCTTCGAAGGAACTGAGCAAGAAACAAAGCTAACTGGTGCATGTCAGCTTAGCACTGAAGAACTCAAATGCATTGCAGTAAAACGGCAACAGTCGACCGGTACACTGTTATGGATTTCACCGGTGATCTGAACATGAACAGTGCCTTTTTCTGCCACGAAGACGTGAGAATTTAGCAAAGTAATAATCGCATGTGAACACATAGTTGGCAAGCGCTCAACATTTGGCCAGACCTGCTTATAACTCCATTGTAAACAAAGACTACGATTAGTGGAAATTTATCCTCTCTTCCAAATCAAACTGCAGTTCATGAGCTGAGATTGGACAACCTAAGAACACAGCATATGCAAGGGGACTTAACTGGTGTACCAGCTCCTCGAGAATCACAACCACGTTGTCTGTCTTCGTTGAAGCCTGCTTGCATCCTTAAACCGATGAGTAAAGAGGACAACCCAGTGTAGTAAAATGCATGTCGCTACACATTACCTCTCTTCGAGCGCCTACTGTGGGATACTTTTCCAAATTATGAACTTTCTGTCCCTGGCACGCATCCAGTGTTTAAAAAGGGTTCACCCAAATCCTGTACTATACCCTCATCTGGAAAATAAGTTGAAATACAGTAAGATCTCCGAATTTGGCCATCTCCATATCCTGACTACCTCATTAACTTGATCGTTTTACTTTTCACTGCTTCAATGTTCACCACGCAAACCTACTGGATTGCGACTTTTGAACGCGGACCACTGTGGTCGATTCCGTTGAATGGACAATTTACGGAGATTTTACCGTATTATTAGTAGCCCGGGTTGGTTGGTCAGTACTTGTATGATTCGATAATTTGGCTGCTCGCGTTTTGTCTTTCATCGAGGTTACAGCAACAGCGTACTGATGGGCAATTTTCAATCACACTAACCGCAGTTTAGTAGAGAAACGAGATAACAAAAGAAACGGTCTGCTCTTCAGTTTTCCCTAAAACGTGAGGTGAGCGCATTTACCTTCACGTGAACATTACGCAAGTCAATGTGTGTATCCACCCTATTTTGTTGACAAGTTTATTGTTGGTGGCCAAGTTGCCACCCTACTCATTCGAGAAGGATGTTGTGTATTATACTCTCACGGGTAATATATCATTACTTTCTTATTAACTGTTGATGGTAAAATCCGTATTCGAGATGAAACAAACTGTTCTTAGCATTCCCGCAGCCAGGTCAGTTCTAGGAGTCATTTGTTGTCCCATACAAACATAAACCGATACAATGAAAGGAAAATAATGCGATCGAAATTATAGGTGACAAGTGGAATATCTGGTGCACAAGGTCATGTCAGTGTGCAATATGATTGGTGGGGACATAGAACTCTGTAACAGAATCTATTCCAAGCCATCTATGAGCACGTGTTTAGTTGGCTCAGTTTTGTCCATACATGGTGACAATGCTTCTCTCTTAACTTATTGCTTATTCTAAGTAACACCTCGCCCGTATGACCAGTGAACAATGGAAATGTTAACCTCTTAGCTACTTGGAAACCACCCTCGAGTTATGCCACAAAATGAGAAAGATTGGCTCGTCGGCCCGTCCTCTTATTTTGGGAACACAGTAGTGCAAAGTGGCTCGTGACATGACAAAACTCCACAAGTCTTGGGCTCTCTCATCTACAGAATCCGTTTGGTTAGAGCTCGCAGGTCAAAACCCTGGATTAAAGTGGGTGCGAATGGAAGTGCCTAGTCACCAGAGTTGCTTGGCTGTGAATGGGTGAACGCACCCGCTCACTTTCAATTGCGGCAGTAATGAAATCGCCAACGGCGGTCACCAGATTACCTGGAATGTTGTTGTTGGCTATCCACCACATGATGAACGTCGGTGGATACAGCAGGGTAGGTTGGTAAGTGGGGCTAGGTACTGCTGTGAATGTGGAAAGCTAAATCACCGTGATGTGTGCTGGACTGCCTGTCACTCACCTCATCAAAATTTCGAGGTGGGTACCACTGAGGTACGACAAAGTAGTGAGTAACTGAAGGTGCACCAATGGAAGCCTATCGAAATCCCAGGGTAAAACATACCAATTTGAGTGTGCCAAGGATACTATATATATATATATATATATATATATATATATATATATATATATATATATATATATATATATATATATATATATATATATCGTATTCTTTGACGGGAGAAATTATGGTGCGTTGAGGTTGCTGGTGGCTAGATCCTGACAGATGATCTACCCATTGCTGCTACTTTTGCGCCATTGGCTCATGTCCTGGACGCCTCCTCGTGTCCACCCCTGGGTGGGAGTTGGGTTTTGCCCTTCTCCCTGCTAAGATCCAGGACACTAATCCGCATGAGTCAGTGAACTGACCATGTGTTAGACCCGCTGGCTTTCGGGTGTTCATTTAATCGAAGGCTTTGTCTAAGGACCCCAGTCGTTCTCCTGTCAAGTGTGGGTGCCCTGGCAGTATCCTAGTCCATCCTCTTCGGAGGTTAGGAAGTGGTCGATTGCCTTCTTTCCGTGAAACCAAACCATTGGAGACAATATGTCTACGGGTTATAAGCTCACAGCTCGATTGGCGTGGAGCATGAGCGCCACGCACTGTCTCTGACGGTGGGGGGGGGGCACCTCCGGGTGTTCAATAGTTTGCTACTGCCCACCTTAAGCCAGGCAGCCCCTAGTTAAATTGGTGCAAACCCGTCAAAACCCATCTGCGTCTGGCCGTGGTCGCAGATGCGTATCCTACTACGGTCGCAAAACATATGTAAATCGTTCCAGTACCTCCAAGTTTGCGTATGACGACGGTCAAGCAGATCCCAATCTGTCACTTCAATCACATTCCCGAGCTGGATCTGCTCTCCACTGCCTTGTGGATCAGGTTACTGAGCCAAAGGCTTCGGGCGGAGTCCCTCAAGCAAACCTCCAAATCACCCACTGCCTTTGTGGGTTAGACTATTGGGTCAAAGGCTCCGGGCGGAGTCCCTCAAGCAAACCGAAGCAAAACGACCATCTCGCATGCGGTTGCCCACCAATGCAATCGTATGCCTGCTCGCAAAGCACTCAGCATCGGATGCTGGAACGTGAGCACACTACTGGACCGGAACTCCAGTGAGCGCTCCGAGCGACGCACTGCACTGGTCGCGACGGAGCTGACGCGCTACCACATCGATATTGCGGCGTTCAGTGAAACTCGGCTTGCTGAGCAAGGTAAGTTGCATGAAGCAGGTGCTGGCTACACATTCTACTGGGTGGGCAACGCCACCTCAGCACCACGTGAATATTGGTCGGATTTGCAATGTCCGAACGTCTCCATGGTCAGCCGGTGGGTGAACCAACAGGCATCAGCGGGCGACTGATGACTGTTCGCCTACGACTCGAAGTAAGTTTGTCACTTTTATAAGCACGTGTCGTCCGACTATGTGTGATCCTGATGACACGCGTTATCAATACTAAACTCAGCCATCCTCCGTGATACGGTCTGTGCCGAGGAGCGACCGACTATCTCTGCTGGGTGGTTTCAGCGCGCGCCTTGGGCGTGATGCATCAGTGTGGACAGATGTTGTCGGTCCGCATGGCATTGGTTCAGCGAATGCGAACGGTGACAGGCTGCTCTCACTGTGTGCCACTCATGGTCTGACGATCAAGAACACTCGGTTTGCACTGAGTGCGAGTGATATAGCAACTTGGACGCACCCACGGAGTGGTCACCCTCACCTGCTCGACTATGTCATCGTACGTCAGCTTGATATGCGTGAAGTGCACTTGACGCGTGTACTGCGTGGAGCTGAGTGTGGCACTTATCACAAATTGGTGCGGACCAAACTGTACATATATTTTCGTAAATCGATGTATTGCACTCCCGCCGTGAATCAGCGTAAATTTAACATTCTCTCCCTCGGTACTGGGGCAAAACGTACTGAGCTGGAGAAGACGATGGCTGCACGCCTGTGTGATGTGGACAGTATAGCCACAGTGGGCGACCTGTCACACCACATTCGCGACCAGGTAA